TAGTAACAAGTGCATCGCTACTAGTAACAAGTGCCTTACTAGTAGTAACAAGGACGCTAGTAGTAATTACAATTCTAATTAAATTCTTTACAAGTAGTAAGGCACTTGTTTCTAGTAGCAAACATTGTTACTACTAGTAAGGCACTTGTTACTACTAGCGTGGCACTTGTTACTAGTAGCTTCTTCGCTACTAGGAACGTCTGCAAGTCCGACCTGTTCCCACACGGGACACCACCGCCGCAAAGGCCGTCGAGATGGCATCGTGGTAGTTGGTGTGGTCATAGGCCTTTCTCGAGATGGCAGAACAAAGCTCGCACGATCCTTCGGTATCATTTGGTCATCTTTCATAAGAAAGAGAAAGGGAAGGAGGTTAGGTGAAGCTCGACTATTAGCCGGTTGTGATCTAGCTATCCTTTCTGAACGAGATAAGTGCGCAAATCACAGTGCCTGCAGCCAGGCAGACACGTCCTGGACACGAGTTTTCACAAGCCAAAATGATCGCAAAGAAAGATGGAGTTGGAATCCTTGTCCTGGGTCCACCCCAAACCTGGTTATATAAGCGATTATATAGAGAGCTAGGCTGATAGACCACCTGTTGCAACTCGCAGCCACTTGGATTCGTCTCAGACTGCTCCTCGTCCAGGTGCTTTCGTTGATTGTCGCACTGGTTGTTGAACATCTCGGGCTCGGAGCATTCGCCCCTGCGGCCAAGGGGCGTTCCAAAAGTGCGCACAGATGAAGCAAGACTACCGGCCGAAATACACCCCCCAACTGTCTATCTGGACCACCCTCGATATGTTTGGCTCTCTAACGTGTCCTAGCCTTTCAAAGATGTCAAGACTGTTCTCCAGTCGGAAGTGTGTCAACTGTCAAATAGTCCTCAGTGACACCCTGCACGGCCAAAGACAAATGGCATTTGGGTTCTATGCTCAAAGTCGAGCCACGAATGCAGTCTTGTTTGACCCTCAAGAGGGGCTGTCTGAAGTCCAGTCCAAGCCACGAGGTCTTGAAGCTGTGAAAGTGGTCGCAACAGGTGCTTTCGCGCAACACGAACGTGACCTTTTGCTACCACAAACGAGTGTGTCATCACCAACGTCGGGGACCCGAGAAGCCGGAGTCGAGCACCAAGAACCAGGTGAACTCCCTGCGATACACAGTGAGTTTGAACTGAAGCATTGACAGCATGCGCCACTTTGTATGAAAGCTCAAGCAGCTCACGTGGTTCAAACTTTGGAGCTTCAGTCCATCAATGTGGAAGGCCAAGTGGATTCTTCTTGAGCCACAAGGACTGGAAAGAAACAGGTAAAACACAAATACAACCACGGAGTGAGCCACTGTCCTTCAGTCCTTTCAACACCGGAGTCTCAGGCCTGTGGCAATCGCTGCAATAGGAGGCCACCGCGACAAAGGCGCTTTTCTGAGGCGAAGCATGGCAGAGCTAAGAAGTCCAACAGGCAAGGAGCATCCTAAACCTAATAGATTCAAAATGTATCAAAATATAATGTTTAAGATTGTTTAAGTATATACTGAGAATAATGAGGTCTCGATACCTCAATGCTCTTTACCACCCTTCCAAAGAAGATTCTGTCAAATGAAAGGCTGTTCTAAAACAAACCATTTACAGTATCTGGGTTCGTTTTGGCATGTCACCTTAGCAAAAGATGATGCGAACTCCGTCACAAGCCTTTTGCAGAATCTAAAGATACTCCTCCTCTGCGAACTCTTGGCCCCCGCACTGAGATCTTCACCGGAGTGATGGAAACATGTGTATCCCTGGGTGACTGGACTCACACAGGGGATGACTCCCATCAACAAAGCTTTCTGATAACCTCCAGCTGTTCTTTTGAATAAATTCAGGTTTGTATAGTCCTAGAGGTGCCCAAGAGCAAAGAGGAAAGGCAGCCGAGTTGCACTGTGTTCTCCATAATTTTGGAGTTCAAGAACTGTGGCACTTGGACCTTGGTGTCTCTGCGCAGCAAAACACTGTGCTTCACTAGAGCACAATGGAAGACTCATCCAAGAGAAGCTCTACAAACGTGGTATCGTCGAAGGTTGTTAAGTCAAACACTCAAGGATGTAAGCCCATCTACATAAACAGCGTGGAATTCTATCTGAAGGCTTCTCCCTGCACTTGACACACCGCTGGGCTTACCACTTTCCCACACTGATTGTCATAGGGCGCGCCAACTCCAGTTTCACCACCTGGCCATGAATCGGCATGTTTCACCAATGGAGAGGCCCAATCTCGGCGCATTGGGACCACCAATCCCGCCCCAAACGCTGAAGTTCGCCGGGCAAGCGAATACTGCTCAAATACCTCCTGGCACCTCAGGAGCCGTCGATGAAATCCGAAGACCGGGGTGCGAACTCCACTGGCACCGGATTCGTTCGGTGTGGGGGCCGGTCCCGTGCGATCCGGTCATCGGCCGACTGAAAAGAAGAAGCAGGAACTCTGAGCTGACCGAACCCAACATCGTGAATGGCACGGGGAGCATCTGGCCATCCCCAACGAAGAATGAGGCGGCCAAGACCTCACATCGTTGGAGCGGACCCAAGCGGGGTCGAAAAAGCACACTGAAAGGGCTGGCGGAGCTTTGGGCTGATTTGGAGGATTTGGCAAACACATCCGCCGAAAAACACTCCGAAGCCTCGGGGTAGAAAATCACCAAGGATTCATCCTGGCGATCTGCGATCTGCGTGACTTCGCTGGTGGGGGCTGTTCCGCGGTACGTCGCGGGGAAACGTTTGAATTTGACCGTTCAGCTTGGTGAGCCGTGATGAAAGGTTACGGTTGTAGATCACAGCTTGAGAACAGCGTGAAATGTCACCGTTGGCGGAAGTCGATGGATTCATGTTAAAAAGAAAACTTCTGGCGGTTTGAGTGCTCGTACTGCTTGTATCAGTCTTCTCGTGGTTTCATCCAACATCAGTATCTTCAATGAGTCATGAGTGATGGTTGGTAGACAAGTCATGGAATTCGATCTGAGAAGATCATGATAAAAGTCACAAAATGATGCACAATACTAAAGCAAGATAGCTGCAGGTCTGGTTGATGTAGTTCTCGCCTAGAATGCCAATGGCACAACATAGCTCTGTCTTCGATGGGTGTGTCCCAATCTGGCCTGACTGTTGGCAACACGGCACAATTGCGCGCCACCACCCACGTCCTGGAGTTTGTGCATCTTGGGCTTCTGAAGTCGAGCAGAAGGTGCATAGCAATGGCCTCCAACCTAATTGTAATGGCCTCCAACCTAGAAGCGATGGCCTCCAAGCTACTAGTGATGGCCTCCACCCTAATAGCAATCTGATACTTCGGACAAATGGGGCCATAGAATCTCTACAACTATGGTTCTGCAATATATACGGCTTGCTCTCGCAACATTACTGTTTGCTAGATCTGCTAGCCTCTGCAGCACTGACTATCTACAAATGTCTCGAAGCAAAGTCTGCGGAGGGTCCATGCCAGCAATGTCCGTCAGGGCCTTCATCCAAAAACAAATGGAAGGATGTGAAGGATTCTGTGCGGCGCTTGGCTATGGCTACTTCCGCAAGGCAAGGAAACAAGAGAGTGTTTCAACAAAGAACGCGCGGACTCATCGTACCAGCAGGAAATGGATGACACTCTGTATGATTGCATTGCGAGCAAAGTTATTGCATACTTCAGGTCTGTGTTGGTGAAACTGTCCATATAGCTTGCATACAAAGGAATCCCAACAGAGTTTTCGTAGGTTCAGAATTTAGGGCATTCTGCAAACCAAAGAAACCCTCTGCCTGCGCTGGCGTGCCGCCAGCCATGAAGTCATGCATGCCGCAGTTGCCCGCCTGAGATCCCCGTGAACACTCGTTTCGGTCACCTTTCCAAAGATTGGACACGGCGAAGACTGTGTACTCTCGCGAAGACTGAAAGCAGCTTCAAGCCGTGGTGTCGCTTCAGGGCACAGGTGACCAAAACATCCTACCGCTGTAAAGTCTGATTGCGAAGAAGTCTCTCAATCCCACGACCGAATCTCGAATCAAACCCTCAAAGCTTTCCTGCCATCCCCCTCCACCCCCTGGGGTGCTCACCTGCAAATTGGCCGTGTTGCAAAGTGTGGGCTTCACCATGGTCTTTCCACCCTGCGTCTGTCCAAATACCATCCACCAACCCTTTGGTGTTCGAGTGCTTTTATAAATAACAGTGGTATTTGTGGAAGGTGCTTTAATACCAACCCAATTAGAACTTTGAACATGTTGGTTGTGACAGTGCTATTGTCTTGATCCTGCAGGTGTCAGAGCACTGGATGAAAAGGTACGGTATTGGTTATATAGATGGGATATCGCAGCACAAAAGTCTGTGCCTCCATCAAAGCGGCTCAGGTGTCCCAGTGTTTTGTCCATCAAAGGGGTCTCAAAAAAAAACAATTCAAAACAAAGAAAGGCTGGAGGTTGACCTTGCAAGCGGCATGCTCACACGCATCGTTCTCCGGTCGTCGCCGCCTGGTTTTGATTTTGGATCTTCTCAAGCCAGGCTTCATTCACGGGCCCTGGAGTAGAAGCAACCAAGTAGCTTCCATCCTGAAGGAAGGGTAGTTGGTGCAAGCACTTGGATGGCTGTGGGCATGTGAATTCGTCTGGGAAGCACGATCGCTGGCAGCAAACCGTTCACTCACACTGAGATCAAAGCTGTGTTTCCAATCTCTTTCGAGAGAACTGCCAAGAATGCAAGGAGTGAGTGCAGCATGTCGGGTGACAGGCCTCAATCGATTGATCCCTTCAATCACAGAAGATTAAGACTCACATCTCAGCATCTGGTCTAAGTCTGTCTCTTTCTGCATGTGGAATACATGTGTAGGCATCAACCAAGTTGAGCGCATGAAAATCCTATGAAGAAAAAGTACAAAAAAACTAAGCTCAGGTTGTGACCTTTCTTCACATCCGATTCCTTGTTGCAGCGCTTGATGGCAGCATCCAACCCTGGCGGCCGGCTTGATGCTGACGTCGAACAACAGCTGCAAAACGAGGTCTCCCGGTCTCATCCGGTGAGCCGCTTCTTTTTGGAAAAGAAACCTAATATAGATCCTCATAGCGATGGCCTCCTCTCTTTTGGGAAAACCACTTGAAGAAAATGCAATCGTCACACCGCCACACCTGTTTCCACGCCATTCAGCTTATTGCCCATCAAAGCATTGATGACGATCCAAGCCATCTGTCTTTGATTGATAATGACAGCCTGGACAGCTCGAGTGCAATTAGCACCTCGAAAACGAATGTGACTGGGTTCTGCTCCCAGCTCTTGTCAAAACACCTCCCTGTGGCACTGGGTGTCAAACGAAGCCCTGGATGTGAAGTGTGGCTGAATAGGTGATACGGTGATACAGTTGTGGGTACTGCATGGGCAAAGGTGATTGGATGGGCATCTGGCTCAAACAACGTCCACCAACAAAGGAAACGCGTCGACACAACGAGTCTTCACCTCCACCTTTCGGGTGCCGAAATGGAGCGACACCGGTTCCCTCACCAACGAAGCGACACGGTGCGAAGCGAAGCGGGGGGACCTTTTGAAAACCGGCCTTCCTTTGAAAAGACATCTGTTTCTCACAGAAGCTGAGTAACCTTCCTTCAGATTGAACAAACACAACAGATCCCTGACTGAAGCTGTCCTGTCGTGGGCTGCTAGCACCAGCGCCACCTGGTGATCGGTGTGCTGGTGGATGCAAGGGTTGCAAGGCTATAAAAGCTCCCAACCAAAAGCATCAAAAATACGACTAAAGCCACCCTAAGGCTTCAAGAAAGGCTCCATGTTCCACAAGCTTCTATTTCAATGATCCCGAACGAGCCAACTGGCCCCCAAAGAAAGGCGGCCAACGCCAACCCCTGGGGTCTCGAAGACTGGCCGAAGACCGCGTCGCTCGGTGCGACTCGATGGCCTCCTCGAAGATCCACCCATGGCACCTTTTGACCGCCCGTCCAGAAGGGATCCCTCCGCAAGGTGTCTCGCATGAAATTGGCCAAGTCCTGACAACGGTAACACGGTGAGCCCAAAAGGAAAGAAGATGAAAACAAAAACCTCCGTTCAGTAGTCTTATATACAGAATGTTTGGAGAAGAAGAGTGAAGTCAATTATTTGCACATATATTGTATGGTCATAGAGTCAGCAAACTACAACCAAACGGAATCTGAAGCCATCAGCATCGTGCCTGCAAGGTCACTGGCTGTCCCTTGAAGAGTGGCGGACTCAGCACGACATGCCCAATGGGCAAACGGGTTCTTCTGACATGCCCCTTTTCAGCCACAAAACACTACTAGGAACAAGAAGCTACTAGGGGCTCCTGGCCTTACTACTAGGAGCAAGGACGCTACTAGGGGCTCCTGGCCGTACTACTAGGAGCAAGAAGCTATTAGGGGCCCATGCAAACATGATTGAAGTACTAACTGTCTGCTCAATCTCTCGTTTGTCTCTTTACAGTATTGTATCGGCAGGCATCAACAAATAGGTAGCCAGGAAACGGAAGAGGTTTTTCAAAGGCAGGCACCTAAAGCCCACAGTCTATCTGTCTTGTGAGGACTAAGTCAGGTGATGGATTGTCATGTGAGTCATGTGTAAGTGTGCCATCGCCACCTGGGATTGACAATTCTCTCGTAGACCTCCTTTCTCTCTCTCCTTTCTCCTCTCACTCATCTATCCTCAGTCCTTTCGCATTTTGCCTGGCATCCTCTTTCATGGTTTCGCATGTGTCTCTCTTGTTTCCTTTCCTTTCCTTTCCCTTCCTTTCTTCTGAAATCCTGAGAACGAAAGTACGGCGATCGAGTTCCAGTTCCACACACCCTGCCAGGGATCGGGCTTCTGAGTCCAAGCATTCCGAATCGAGTTCCAAAGATCCTGCTGCCAGCAATCGGGTTTCTGGGTTTCTCTGAACTCTCCAATGTGAAACCCAGTTGGATGCACATACCCAGAAACAAATGCAAACAATCACACAAGAAGCTCTTATGATCTCACAGCTTCCGGTTCAATTGGTCTTTACAATGGAGATAAATACTGAGCAAGCTTCTCTTGTTAAACGATTTGCTGGTGCACCATCCAAAATAATCATAATAAAACCAACTTGTTTCACTGCAAGTCTTAATTTGATGTCAAAATGATAGACCGGCCTGCGGCACTGCAGGGAGGTGCCAAATCTGACACGATGCCGTAAGGATACAACTGTGGAGACTAGCCAGGCCTTCCAATCTAATAGCGATGGCCTCCAACCTCGTAGCGTCCTTGCTCCGTTCGTAGCGATGCCCTTTGTTCCTACTAGCTTCTTGCTCCTAGTAGTAAGGCCAGGAGCCCCTAGTAGCGTCCGATTGCTCCTAGTAGCTATGGCCTTTGCTCCTAATACCCATAGCCTCCAAGATCTAAATTGAACTCAAGAATCACGGCGAACAGATGTGCATGAGAAACCGTCGGTGCAGCTTGCAAATGCAGTCGCGGCTCTTCAATTTGCTAGGTGCCCGCCTGGTTATCAATTTGATTGGAGACATCCCAGGCATTCCGTGCGTAGTACTTGTAGATAAAGTCCGTGCCTTCCCTCAGTCTCACAGCCATTGCCCGACGACTTCAAGGGTCTTGGTTGTAGCCCATTTAAAAACACCAATGGAGCAGGGAGGACGACTGTCAGAAATTGCAATTCTCATCAAGTGCAATCCACTTTGGCATACGGGGCTTCTAAGAGTCAAATGCATTGCTCTCAGCTTTGAAAATGGCTTGTGAAGGCATGCATTCTGTTTAATGAGAACTGCACACTTGACATGCAAAAAAAGGAGCATGCGTCTAAAAATTTGAGCTGGTGGTTGGTTTCGTCCCAAGGGAGTATGCTGCTTCCAGTGTTCACGAGACAATGACTTCGAACAAATAGCAGGGAAAGTCAAATGTTTGGCCAATGCTGAAAAATGTATGTCAAACCTAATTGGCCTCTAGATCAGATCACCTATATATATATATATATACATATGATTACATATGTAGATTATATCTACTGGTACTCTTTTTGATGTCTCAACATGCCAAATCCGACCCTCCAACCCCATCAAACAACGAAAACGGTCGCTTGAGGTGAGCACTTTCGAAACCAAATTGGAGCCCCATCTCGGGGACCTTGGAGACTGTGCTCGCTGTTTGAATTGGGACAGGGGGGGTGGACGGACAGGGCCGTGCAAATCCAATGGATGTCTTCTGATCCTCAACGCAACCATTTCTTACAGGGGCTTACAGGTCCTTTTAAAACTCAATACTCTCTGCTTCGGATAGATGCTTCAAGTGCAGTGTGTTGAGGGCCAAGCACATCAGCCAGAACTTGTTGGGTGTCGATGTTTGGTCCAGCCCGTTCATCCTTCAGAGCTGTCCAGCCAATGCATTCACCGCAGCTCTGAACCCAGAGCTTTCGAGTCTACAAATGACCAATCCAGAAAAGCTGCTTCGGCCACATCGAGTGAGCGGGAGTGAGACCCCCCCAACTGGAACAAGGGTTTAATGAGATGAAGGTTCGTTCACATCCAAGAGTGCGAAGGTGTGCGAAGTGTCCTCAGACGGTTCAGGACAAAAGTTTCCAGATTCACGTGATGCCAGCTTGCCCTTCTTTTCCGAAACCTCATACCTGCGCCTCATGCATCAGCTGATTCCTTGCCCTCACACCTGCCCACCCTCACCGTCCTCGTCACATCAGAGTCATCAGCACTTGGAGCTGTGCCTGCAAAGCAACATCTCCTCTACCAGCTGTGGAGGAAACTGACACGTTCTGCGTACAACTCCAAACAGCTTCGCCACACCCCTCCAGACATTCGACACAACAGCTTGGCTAGCTCGCAGTGCAAATTAGAGCCACAAGAATGGACCAACTTGCCTGGCACTTGGAAGTCATAGTGATAAAACAGCAGCACTCCTGAAACATGACTTGACGTCTTCCAGTGCTCCGTCTCGAAAAGAATGATTTGCATCACCCATCCCGCCGCCTAGATTGTCCTCAATACTCAAGACTCAATGACACAAAGGCTACTAGGAGCAAGGACGCTACTAAGGGCTCCTGGCCGTACTACTAGGAGCGATCGGACGCTACTAGGGGATGATCCTTGAGTAAAGTCCGCACCTTCCGTGGCTGTGCGGAGGCCGATAGCTGGTGCCGAGGGGATTGGTGTAAAATGCTTTGATAGACCAGACCAAATAGACCTTCGGGGCAAAGACTTCAAAATAGACGAGAAAAACCACTGGTGACGGCCAAAAAAAGGCTGAAGCCAATAGTCAGGAGGCCTCCCGTTTTAAGGCAAAGCCTATCCAACTGTCCACTCCCTGCACTCTGCACAGCTCTCCTGCGAGAAGGCATCCCAGCAGCGATACAAGCCATACGCGGGTGCCCACTGACCGCGATGCAACCCGACCTCAGGTGCATTCGGGTGCCATGGTTTTGCTGATTAAAATGAATTGAGCACAAGATGTGCAAGCATAAAGAACACTCTTAAAACCTCAAAACCTCCAAAACAGCCCTCTTTCAGGCAGACCCTTGTCGCCCGACGGAAATCCAAGGGGCTTGTGTCCCCATCCTCCAACAACTCTCTGCTTTCACCAGCCTCCAAACACACGGCATGTGGCTGGACGGATGGCAGCTGGATGACTCAATCTTGGCTAGACCTATACCACAAAGGGACTGAAGGGGGCCCTATTGCACACTTGATCTTCAACGTCAAAGCTCATGGAGAGATGGAGGCTGGAAAGCGATCAGAACGTTCAAGTGAGAAGTACAATCCCACGTCCTTCTCCTCCGCGTCACTGCCGTCAAAGCAAGGTCTAGGTCAAAAATCAAAAGTGTTGGTCTAGGTCAAACAAGAGCAAGAAAGGTGCCAAGAGCAATGTGCAGATTAACGAATGTGTTGGCACTTGTGTGGTGGCTGACACTTCCTCGGAGTTTTCACATCCTGGGGCCACTGCTCTTCAGGTGCAGGGTCAAAGAGGAAGGATAGTGGCACAGGCATGGCAGCGAAAATGTGCAACTCTGAGCGCACAGGAAGACCAGCGAAGGCCAAGCCCTTTTGTTTGGGATATCCATACAAGTACTTGATCCATGGACCTGATGGATGATCGACTTTATCAATTCTGGAGGATACATCACAGCTTTGGGCGGGATCATGTTAACTGTGTTCTGATCAGGCTCCACCTCTTCATGTGCTTTACCAAAACATGCTCAGCCCTGAAGCCACAAGTCAATTCCAGAACGTCTGAGAGTGGCAAAGCAGGATGACTTCAACCCAGTCTTGGCATCTGCAAAAGGTATGGCTATCCAATGCCAAGGGCTACCCCTGCCTACAGACGCCTGTGCTTGTCTAGCGCATGGTGAATCAAGATCACCGTCAAACCTGCCTATAAATACCCTTCAAATTCAGCATGGAACTCAAGCCTACAAATCTCCCATCTGGGTCAGTCAAGAGCAAAGATAAAATCACACGGCAAGCACAATTTGCCCATCACACTGGTTCATTTTACTACCGCCATGGAGGATGACGCTTACGTGCACATGTTGCACGAACCGCTTCATTTGAACCAGGCAGAGTAGTGTGGCACTGTTGGATAGCCACTGGCGCTGATAGACAGGCCACGGCCGTTAAATCAGCGCA